TCCATTATGTGATCCGATCCAACGGTATCACAATGGTGCAATGTTAGAGGCAGAAGAAAAAGAAGAAGCAGAAGAAGGCAAGAGGCAAGAAGAGGGTGATTAATGCAGCCCACACAGCTCTGTAGTTACAGTGACGTCCATGCTCGGTGTGGGACTGATGTGACAAGATGCTGAGGAGTAATAGCATGTTGTCATGTCAACGTGCGGCTGTGACATTTGAGAGACACAACAACTGCTGGGGACCCCTGACTGAGATAAGGAGGGCTGTGAAGGTGGGAAGAACAGGCGCTGACTGTGAAACCTTTCATAAAGCAGCGAGTACATGTATGAAACATGACGTGTTGTGTCTGTTTGCAGAAAGAGGAAACAGCAGGGCTCATAAAACTCAAGTCACTAATGTTTTGCCTCATTCATTCAAATACAGGACGAAGAGCGAAGTGTGCAGGGATCAACAGATGCTTCCTCTGAATATACAATCAATACAGTTTATGGATCAGTGCTTTAATAGTTTTAAAATCAACCAATCTAGCATCAAATCAAGTATTGGTAACGTGGCATAAGCCCTCCCCTCCCCTCACACACACACACACACACACACAAAGACTAAACACAAGCAACATCACTAATGTAGATAAATACAAACTCCTACTTCACCCCTTCAATGACAAATGTTGCATTTGTCATTTGTGACACTGCAAAGTATTGCTGCTTTCTCCAGATGTGAATGTAAACTTCAACTCAAGGTAACTTAGTCAAATAATGAAACAGGTTAAAGACATGCTGTTATAATAAATGTTTAAATATAATAAAGGACGTGAAGTGTATTCAGGTATCACAGACATGCACTACCTAAGGTAAACTTTGGACGACACTGATTGCAGCTACAGACTCGCTGGTTAACACCGACGGTCGGTTAGCCTGCCGAGGCTAACGTCGCTAGCTAGTTAGCTAAGAGATTAAAAGTTAGCGTAAATAAAAACCCGCATAAAATCCACACTCACTCGTCGTCCTTCAAGTAATTGTCCTCTGAGATGGGTTTAATGGGGGCTATGTTCTCCGTCGCGGTGTTGTAGTTTCGGAAACACACTGTCAGCTTCTCGTCGAAGTCGTGGACGAGGTCCTCCATCGATTTGAAGCTGCAGATCTCCCCGGAGAAACTGTTGTCCAGGTCGGAGAAATCGTCTAGGCCCGACGACGAATCGCCCACGTTTGAGTTCAGCTGGTCCAGCTGGTCGGCCGACGCCGAGGACGGCTTGAATTCGTTAAAGTCCTGCCAGTCCTCGTCGAAGTGGGCTAACGGCGCCGCCATGACTGCCGTAAGGAGCTCGGTTGACAGCCAGTTAAACCCCTCGATGGTGCACTGTTTTCGGCTTCGAGACACTTGACGAGACGGCGAGAGACTGAGAGAGAGAGAGAGGGAGGGAGGGGGCGGTCCGTAGTGACGTCAGGCTGCACGCCCCTCCCCCTTCAGATGGAGCAAAACAAACCCATATCAGCTATGGTTGTGGTGCTGTTTATGTTCAGTCAGGAGATGCTAACTGTGTTCATGAGGCCATCTTAGGCAAACAGACCCACACATCTTGTACCTCCTCTGCAGTAAAGACAAACTCACTCATTTCTACATGTCAGGAGTGAGGTTCCTTCATTCAAAACTGCCTAGAGATTAGTAAGAAAAATGTTTAGGAAAATATGATATTAGTTCAATCA